GAAATGCTACATTTGGAGCATAGCTCTGTATGGGGCTGAAACATGGACACTTAGGGCAGTAGATCAGAAACATCTGGAAAGTTTTGAAATGTGGTGTTGGAGAAGGATGGAGAAGATCAGTTGGACCGATTATGTGAGAATTGAAGAAGTGTTAATTAGAGTCAGTGAGCAGAGGAATATCCTACACGAAATAAGAAAACGGAAGGCTAATTGGATTGGTCATGTTTTACGCAGAAACTGCCTTCTAAAAGAAGTTATCGAAGGAAAGATAGAGGGGCAGATAGAAGTGACAAGAAGACGAGGAAGAAGACGTAAGAAGATGCTGGATGACCTTGGGGACAGAAGAGGATACTGTCATTTGAAGGAGAAAGCTCTAGATCGCATTAAATGGAATTGTTTTGGAAGAGACTGCGGACCTGTCGTCTTGACAGATTACTGATGATGATGATGATGATGAATGGAAATTTCTGATGCAGCATGTCCACCAATGTTCAAAAGCCTGAAGCCACACAATATTTTAGCAGTTTATTACAGATTCTTGTAAATCTCTATTGTCTGACTACAAATTTTGTGTTCCATTGTGTCTAAGGCAACTCTGTGTGTGCATCACCATCAGACAGTGATACAGACAGTTACATCATCATTAGAAAGCTACTGCACTGTACTTTCAATAAAAGACTCGAACCAAAATCGCCATACTGGAGATCTTGTTGAAAGCATGGGACTTCTCTTCTGGAAGTTACCTACTCAAAGTATGACATGCCTGTAAGGATATTTCAGATGCACAACATCAAGCTCTGTAATTCTACTAACCAAGTGAATACAGAAACTCTGATAACTCAGATATCCTGTCAGAGGAAATATGTCCCTGGACTAGATACTGCATTCCTATTTTGTTGCATCCTGTTGTGTAAATCACTAGCAAGTCACTAAGTACATGACAGAATATTGTAACTAAAACCCGAATCTAAAGATGGCATTCATGTGATGAAATCCTAGTCATCCTAGTCACATACCCCATCTGCTGGAAATATTGTTGTGTTGGCAAGACTATAATAAATATTAGCAAAATGTTTTGTACAGCTGCATTAAATGTACTGTACAGCTGTTTTGAATGTACTCACATGATGCTGTGAACAGATGATCCATGCTGTATTTTCACCTTGTTCTTCTTAATGCGAATGTTGTCACTGCAATTATACACATGGATACAGCCATCCTCTGTTCCAAGCCACATTGTGGGCTGCAAACTGTCTGTGTCTTCAGTCACAATGGATGTCTCACACACTAGTGAGTCCGACGCACTTCGTATCCTCTTCAGGTCCTCTTGAACCCCAATGCTGATTCCTGTTCCTGGCGTCCCTTCCTCACCTTCATCCTCATCCTCACTGGAGGAACTACTGGAAATGCAAAGACCACACTATGCATGTACTACTACCTTATATGTATTCAGTCTCAATAATCTTCGAGGTGGTACAAAATCTTATGTTTTCTCACTACATAAAAAGCAATATTTCTAATTTGAGAAATAAAGAAGTGAAGATTCCTGAAAAGAAGGTAGAGAGGTTAAAATGAATAAGAAACAACAAATCACTATGAATAATTTTACCATTAGAGGGGATACTATGAAAGTACATGTATGCAACTATTTCTACAGATTAAAATGATTCTACTTGAAAAATAAAGACAAATGAGTGGCCAAAAATCACTTCTAATTAAAAAACTTCACAGTGGCCTTGTTATCAAGAATATATGTAACTCAAATTAATTATAAATTAAGATTATTGTCTTCTGGGATGTGACGATGGAGTATGGTATACAGGTACTAATATTTTTAAGGAATATGCTGTCTCCATCATCAGTGTCAAAGGGTTCTATCCTGAAGATGGAGGAGATGGGTGCCTCTGAAATTGTAGTACCCAAATACCAAACTACATGGCCTTAAAACTCAAAAGACCTTAATCTTGATATTCATCATGAGAATCTCAGAAGTGGTAACCAAATCCAATCCACAACCTAAAGCCATGTTTCTATCCAACCCTTTAAATTACAGTGGTTACTATACGCACCACTGTCTTTAATATTAAAAAAACTGTGTCTCTGAATAAACAGCATCAACTGGTTGGGCTTTGTAATGAAAATGCAGTCTGTTTTCTGTAAGAGAGATGGTAACCATCTATCGAACTGTGACGCTAGATGGTGTCACATTAAAAAGACCACAATCTTAAACTACGAATCAAACTGTGTATATCTTATTCAATTGATGTTTCACACTCAGTACAAGAAATCATATTTCACAAAGACAAAAAACAAAACATGAACTTTATACAGTTTTAACTCTGGTGTTTTCAAAAGGAGATGAAGGCAGCATTTGGTATTAATAACAAGGACTCTCTGAAGTCATTCTGCTCTTGCTCTCAAGAAAAAAGTTTCAGTAATATGGGCAACTCCTATTTAAGGTTTCTTTTGGGACAAGTAGATCTGAACACTAGGGTGAAGAAAACCTTAAATGGAACTCATTGACATGAAGACTAATGACTTGATAACATTGAAACTGAATGTTAAATGAGGGAAAAACTTTAATTCAAGGAACATTTAAATTGGTTTCCTCTTTACAAAAAAAAAAAAAAACTCTGTGGTTTCAGTCCACAAGCAAACTATACTGACTGAGGGACCACTGCTTGTTGGCGAAGTTAGTGCCAACTTTAGCGGATAGAGGGTGTCATGTGGTCAGAGCAATGAATTCCGATGGCCATTGATTTCGGTTTTCTCTTTATGTTGTTTTAATACCACATATCATACACAATTACCATCATGGAGACAAAATATGTGTGCAAGTTAGAAATATTTGTAAAATGTTTATTTGCTGAACCTAAAATACAGTTTTCATTGCTCTGTACCTGTCAAGCTGAACTGTGTTTCCTCCACTCTCATCAGTGTCCTCTATAGAAATGCTGATTCCTGCTTTGCTGTTGGTGAATGGCTGTCCTATGCTGCAACTGGAACTTGGTCTGCAAGCAAGTTAAAAACTTTCATTTAATGCAGTTACCTTATGAAGCACTGTAATTACTATATGTGCCACTTGCTTTAACACTAAACACTTCTCTGTTTTGCTTGAAAAGTATATTCTTGAACTAAACATATGATGCTGCTCTATTTTTTCTGTTACAGAAAAAGTTACTTTGTAGCCTGTTCCAGTTACATGATTCAGCTGACAATTACAAGAACTGCACAGGGAAACATTTTGTGAAACACCATGTATAGATTCAGTCAACAGCTGATAGGGCATGTCAAAAAAGATGGCTGGAAAGACAAGTGAGAGACATACATACACATATTAGGGGAACTCTTTGAAAAATTATACCACTTTAGATGGGCGTTCATGCAATACTTATTTTCTAGACTGAAATATGCTGGCACTCAGGCATCACATAAGGGGAGTGATATGTTTTATGTTATCATAAAAAAAAACAAAAAAATATGCTAATTTTAAAATTTTCAACTTCTATCATTCCATCATTTTTTATTTTTTATTTATTCTTTTATCTTTCAACTCACGAATTGGGTGCTACAAGCCTGTTCTGATGTTCAGAAGTTTAAAAAG